GGAGAAACGCGGATTCTGGGTCCTTAGATTAAAAAAAAAAAAAAGGAGGCGGAGCTAATGCCTGCTCAGAATTACCCGGCAGATACTCAGCTAAATGCTGCCGTGATTAAACACCATCATGTTCCAAACCACATTAAGGATTCTCTCTGAAACAGTATGGAGCTCAAAGGCTTTCTCTCTTGCCGGTTATACCACAAGGTGAGTTCCTTTTTACTTCCTGCTTCTTCACACACATGCTCTCCAGTACAGGTTAGCTCTGAGTGTTAGCGATGCTAATGTAAACACCGACCATATTACGTCCAAAACAGTCGGGCATTGTTTCCGATAGCAACTTTCTGATAGCAACGTTTCTGATTGGGCCGTGGGTGTAAAGCCCGCCCACATTTTAGTAATGTCGTCATATCGGACGCAAATCTGGATCAGATCCGTTGTTCCCTCGTTTTTAGAGATTTGGGTACTGAGGAAAAGAGAGAGGGTTTTATTTCCTGACGCACCGGGGACACGCATGGGCAAAGGACATTAAAAAGTGCATTTTGCATGATAGGAGACCTTTAACTAACGGAGGCATTCATCTCTGTCTGCTTCCTCTCTCTCAGTATGGATTTATTCTGGTGCGTTGAATTCATTGAGTCCCCAGTTGAAGGTGATTAATACTCCCTGTTTCCTCTCAGCGCTGTGGGTGTTCATGACGCTGCTGCCCACCCTCATGCTGAACAGTGAGAAGAGAGACGCTCCTCTGGGCCCGAGGGACTTCATCGGCTGGGGCCTCTGGGGCCTCGGGTTCGCCACTGAAGCCATCGCTGACCAGCAGAAATGGATCTTCAAGAACGACCCGGGAAACGCTGTAAGTTATAGGGAAGAAAACCCAGCTTTCTACCTCCACCCGTGGAGATGTTCATCAGCATGTATAGGTACAGAGGTTTGGAGATCAGGATCAAACTATCTCTGGAGAAAAACTAGATTAGATGCACTTTATTAATTCGGACTATGCTCTGTGTTTGCAGAGACAGTGTTATACATTCATGCACTTTAGCTGACAGCAATGCTTCCCATTAAAATCGATGTGTTGCATAAGGGCCAGGGAAGATGCAGTCAGTGTTCACTTCCTGTCTTCTTCTGTTGAGTTCTGTCGTCCAGCTCGCTGTCTTTTCTTAACTGGGTACAGTTCAGCCATCATGAACCCAAAGTCTCCTGCGCTCATCACATATGCACAACAGCTACAGTGTAGTTATGGCAATGAAGAAGTCCCAAGCACCTCCAACAATGCAACATAAATGTATGAGACTTAAAACAATAAAAATAGTGCAAAAAGATACAGAGTAGAAAGAGACATCTCATCACACTATTCCCAGAGTCTAACTGTTGGAAACTCTCACTGGTCCCCGGCTTGAGCTTCAACCTCAGGATCCATGTATGTGTGATCCTCTCCAGAATGGAAGCAGTCATCACATACAGAGCATCAACTAGTTCCTGAACAGTGTCCTTCACATGCTGATATCCAAGAGAGGGAGTTACACAGTCACAAGATGGAGGAATAGAAAGCAGTATTCAATGTTTACTTCAGATTAGCTCCACGTCAGAAATGAGCATGCTTGATGTCTCTCTCCATAGAGGCTGAATCCTCATGTTAATCACATAGCTATCATCTGCCTCAAACAGTCCTGATGCTCTTCTAGGTAATCACACATCCTGTCATGTTCACAACTACAGTTGATACCTTTGTTAGCATGTGACTCTCATGTTGGAAGAGTACATTCACTATTTCCAAACACTAACCGTCTTGTCTGAATCTCTTCTCAGGGGAAGTTCATTCAGAGCGGCCTCTGGGCGTACAGCCGGCACCCAAACTACTTTGGGGAGATCCTGCAGTGGGGGGGTCTGTGGCTGTCGGCCTCCTCGGTGATGAAGGGTCCTCTTCAGCTGCTCAGCGCCGCCTCGCCGCTCTTCGTCTGGTTCCTGCTGCGCCACGTCAGCGGGATCCCCATACTGGAGAAACAGGCGCTGAAGAAGTGGGGCACGGACCCTCAGTTCCAGGACTACATCAGGAACACCCCCCTCCTCTGGCCCTGGCCCAAGTGCTTCTAAACTGATGGACTTATACACCAAAAATAAACAATCAAGTTAAATGTAATGTTTTTTTCTGTCATTTTGTAAAATAAATTCATCATATTTACAGTTTGGCATGTGCCTTTTCTGTGAGATCTCTAAAGAGGTGGGAGAAGTACTCAGATCTTGTACTTGAGTAAAAGTAGAAGTACCAGAGTGTAGGAATACTCTGTTGCAGTAAGGCCCAATACCAAACCACACCCTACACCCTACACCTCCGTGACGTAGTGAACTCTGGAGTCTCACTCGCAGCTCAACGAGGCTCCCTCCTGTCAGATGGACAGCGGCAAGCTTTGGGACGGCCTCCCCTCTCATGTAACAACGGTTTCAAATCAGCTCCTAGACAAAAAATTAATAACTCAAAACATCTTTCATTGTGTTTCAAAGCTCTTTTAGTTTTAAACCTGATGTTTATAAGCTTCTTAGTTTTTGCAACAGTCTGTAAATATACACAACTTTATAATAAAATGCACACATTTACCTTTTTCTAGACTAAACACAGGTTTGATCCTAAGTTAAAACATGAGGTTATTAACATCGCAGTTTATCAGTGGATGTTTGATGGAACTACTTGTAAACAGCTTGTTTCCTGACGACACACACAGCGTAGAGACCGGTCTCCAGTCAGCACCATGGATGTATCGGTCTGCATCGGTGCTGACGTTCTTATTATACATCCATGCTCCACACTCGTTGGTTTGGAACAGCCCTTAATGTGGCGGACCCTCCGCGCGAACGGAGGGGTAGTGTGTAGGGGGTGGTTTGGGATTGGGCCTAAAAGTCCTGCATTCAAAATGTTCCTCAAGTGAAAGTAGAAAAGTATTCTCATCAAAATATAGTGAGAGTAGCGACAGTGAAAGTAGTCGTTGTGCAGATTGGTCCATTTCAGAATAATATATATGATATGTTTATAATGATTGATCATGAAAGTGTTCTCAAAGCTGGTAAAGGAGCAGCTAGTTTGAATGACTTTGTATACTGCAGGGTAGCTGGTGGATTTACTCCAGGTGGAACTAAAGTCTGATTCAACACTTGATTATATTTCACATCATTCATCCACATAGTAACTAAAGGTATTAAATACATGTAGTGGAGTAGAAGTACACCATGTACCTCTGAACTGTAGTGGAGTAGAAGTACACCATGTACCTCTGAACTGTAGTGGAGTAGAAGTACACCATGTACCTCTGACCTGTAGTGGAGTAGAAGTACAAAGATGCTCACTGTAAAGATTATATTACAAAAACAACAGTTTCAGGACAGAAGGTGTGATAATCTGTGATGTTATTCTGCTTTGAATTCATGCCTTTTTATAATGATGCATCATCTAACTATCTGAATCAACCCTCTGTGTAGGACACACAAGTTGGATCGGCGACATTTTTTGCAAGAGGCTTTTGGTAAATAATTTTTAAAAAGTGAGACAATATAATGTAACATACATTTAATTTACGGTTTTAAAACAATTAAACATCAATTAAGGACATTTTTAAATGAATGAAATCAACGCATTAAGATTCAGAAAACTATAAAAACACAGGAGACAATTTTGGTACGAAATGTATTTTATAAGTTACAGGTCTTTTAGAGCAAGTGTACAAAATGTTGTGCTAAATATTCAAATAATGCCACGGCAACTTAAACTGGCTAATCTTACAAAGTAATGGCCTTTAGCATGCTAGTTAGCATCCTCCCACAGTCCAAAATACACGGAGCGAGATTGAATGATCCTGCCTGGGAACAAAGTACCTGACGATCACCGGCAGTGGAGATATTTTAATTGTGCGCCCTTTTTCTCAGAGAATAATGCCAAGTATTAAACAGGAGAGGGCCCGAGAGCGCGTAAACAATACAGCAACATTTACTGGAGGATAAAGACGATCAAAACTATGGAGGCCGACAGGAGCGAACACGCTGCAACGGCTCAAACCTCTTCCGTCAGGAGAAACATCCTGCAGCTTCAGAAAGGATGCAGATATAAAAACACTAATGTTCCACACGAAGAAACATCTTCAGCAACTTGACATCACATGCAGCTTTTAGAGAACATTCAGAACTCGAGGAGACATGGCAGCGTTCACTAAACGCTGCAGAAACCAAACGCTGAAGAAGCTCAAAGCACTACGACCGGGGGACACTTAAAGGTGACGCACACAGCTGGGAGACCAGGGGACACTAAAGAGTGACGCACACAGCTGGGAGACCAGGGGACACTTAAAGGTGACGCACACAGATGGGAGACCAGGGGACACTTAAAGGTGACGCACACAGCTGGGAGACCAGGGGACACTTAAAGGTGAAGCACACAGCTGGGAGACCAGGGGACACTAAAGAGTGACGCACACAGCTGGAAGACCAGGGGACACTTAAAGGTGACGCACACAGCTGGGAGACCAGGGGACACTTAAAGGTGAAGCACACAGCTGGGAGACCAGGGGACACTTAAAGGTGAAGCACACAGCTGGGAGACCAGGGGACACAAAAGAGTGACGCACACAGCTGGAAGACCAGGGGACACTTAAAGGTGACGCACACAGCTGGGAGACCGGGGGACACTTAAAGGTGACGCACACAGCTGGGAGACCGGGGGACACTTAAAGGTGACGCACACAGCTGGGAGACCGGGGGACACTTAAAGGTGACGCACACAGCTGGGAGACCGGGGGACACAAAAGAGTGACGCACACAGCTGGGAGACCAGGGGACACTTAAAGGTGACGCACACAGTTGGGAGACCAGGGGACACAAAAGAGTGACGCACACAGCTGGGAGACCAGGGGACACTTAAAGGTGACGCACACAGCTGGGAGACCGGGGGACACTTAAAGGTGACGCACACAGCTGGGAGACCTGGGGACACTTAAAGGTGACGCACACAGCTGGGAGACCGGGGGACACTTAAAGGTGACGCACACAGCTGGGAGACCGGAGGACACTTAAAGGTGACGCACACAGCTGGGAGACCGGGGGACACAAAAGAGTGACGCACACAGCTGGGAGACCGGGGGACACTAAAGAGGGACGTTGTGTTTGAGCTTCTTCAGCGTCTGGTTTCTGCAGCTTTCAGTAAACGCTGCCATGTCTCCTCGAGTCGCTGAATGTCCTCTAAACGCTGCAGGTGTTGTCAAGTTGCTGGAGATGTTTCTTCATGTGGAACCTTTGTGTTTCTGCATCGTTTCTCCTGATGGAAGAGTGTTGTGTCGCTGTAGCACGTTAGCACCCGTCGACCAGCGTAAAACTCAATACAAACAGTGGAAAAGCGTAAAGGATAAAGGACACTGGCCACCTTTGATTCCAACCTGCAATGAAATGCCTTAAAAAAAAAAAAATCCGTTCTTCAACCTCTGAGTGACACATGAGTTGAGTTTAAAGCAGGTCACAATCAAAGCGTGCACATAGCATATATTTTCAAAAAGAGTGATCTATAAAAACACGCGTTAAAGGAGTAAAAGGTCTCATTACACATTCAGCAGAAGCTCTAAAGACACACGTGGCATCCTTGCTATGAAGCAGACCAGGAGGCTTTGGAGATGGAGAGGGGTTGTTATTGCAGAGTGAACAAAAGATCAAGTGTGTCTTCTTCGTTGGATTATTTCAGGGACGGAGATGCAAAGAACTTCCCCGGGCGATTAAACCCGACCGCCGACTTGGTCTTGCTCCCGAATCTGAAACAGAGTGCATGATGGGATTTAATGGAATAAGCAGCGAGGGTCAATAGAACAGAGTCATCGGTAGGGATGGGTATCGTTAAGGTTTTAACGGTACTACTAGCTGAAACTTTAACAAACTAAATAACTCAGTTTCCTCTAATCATTAACCCATGTTTGTATAATGGAGTTAACTCCGTGTGTTGCTGCTAGCATACAGAACACCTGACGTGGAAACGTTACTCGTGGATGGGGCTACAGAGCTGCTAGAAAGACAGTGGAACCCGGTGCATTCCTCCGTCTGGATGTGGAGCACTTTTGATAAATGTTTAGACACATTGCTCGTGTTACCACCCTTACATGCTAAACTCTTATTGCACTTTAGGCAACGAGGATCGAGACGGGTAAAGTTTAACCACCTCGGAGCGCGTTCTCTCCTCCGTGTGTGTGTTGCTGCATGTAGCAGCTGCGTGTGTGTAAACTGCCCCGCCCCCTCGCAAGCAGGCGGGGGAGAGAGATCGAAAATACTAAAAATAATCATAGAAGCATTTTGCAGTCTCCTTGCGTGTTAGAAACGGAGTTGGCGAAAATAAAACTGCAATATAATGTTTGTGTAGCAATAATACACATGACATATTTTTCACACGTCTCCAGCACCGATAAAAAGACCGCTAGCGTCGGAGCTTAACGGAACCACGGTCTTTAATAATTCAGCCCCGGGGCCCGTTTAATGCCGGGGTCGGTATTAAAAAAAATCTTTTTTACTTATAGTGAAAACCACCCTTGAATGATGGGATGGTAGAATAAAAGCTTCAGAATCCAAACTATAACATATAATAAGTACTCTGTATCAAGATTGATGCCAAACAAGTGACCTTTGACCTTTTTAGAGAGGTTTAGAAGAAAGAAACACTTCTGGGGTCATTTGGGTGCATTTTCCATATCTCTGGCCCCCCTCGGTCGATTTTGATGATTGACATCTCTTTCTAACCGTTAGAGCCAATAGAATCGAAGGGGAAGTTCCTAAAATCCATCTAAACATTTCCCATTGGTGAATGAGTGATGCGTAGCCAGAATGCCCAAAACCAGAAGCTGTCATACACTCTGGTAGCTATCATAGCAGCTATATATAAAATCTCTGTTATTGACATAAAAATGGAATGATGGATTATCAGTAATCATTTCAAAGTGACACAGACACATTGGATTAACCTGTGGATTAACCTTCAGCAGCGTTTTTATCGTTGTAATGCCTAGTGCTGTAGCGACGCGTCGACGATGTCGACTTCAAAATATCGTCGGCGACATATTTCCGCGTCGACGCGTCGCTACACACACGTGGGTCACCCAAAGCAACAAGCAGTTCGCAATCGCACTTCAAACACAATGGAGACTGAAACGGCTACCACCTCCTCCTCACAGGATTGCGCACGAAGCCCCCAAACGAAAACATCTCGCCCTAGGTCTTCAAAAGCATGGGAATATTTTAAAGTTAGTCCAAAACGCAAAGATATTTATATATTTATATCTCACTGAGACTGCTGCATAGCCTAGCAGAAGCAGCAGCTAGCTGTGGTGGCTACCATTAGCAGCTAGCATTTGCTCTTCAATTTTTACATTAAATGGAATTATGGATTATAAATTCAATAATTTTTTTATACATAGACGTTAAAAACCTATGGATTAACCGATTCAGCCGCGTTGTTTCTCATTTTAATGCCATTGAACACGTCTTTTGATCAGATTGACAGCTACGGTGGTAAGACGATCTCCCTAGAAGCTCTGTGAAGGTACGTGTTGTGATGACTGTATTTGCTTCCCCTGTCGCGAGTCCGGATCACTCAGTGATGATACTATATACCTACATAATCTGTGGAGTCTCAGCTTTAATCGGATATATTGTAAGTGCAGCTACGATAAGTAATAAGGATACTTTTATCTTGAGTTCTGTGCCAATGTCCGTTAGTATTTTTCGCTCAGGGGTCATTTAGATGCTTCTTATGAGACTTGTGTTTTGTTTTGGTAAACATGGTTTGTATCGTCAGTTAGCTGAGATTATTTTCGTTAATCTGGTATAACACATTAATAGGTTCTTAAATATTAAGATCCCCTGAGACACAGTATCGTGAAAATACAATTTTTTTACATTACGTTTTTTTTACATTACGTTTTTTATGAATTGAACAACAGAAAAATAATCGTTAGATTAGTCGACTAATCGATCAAATAATCGCCCGATTAATCGTTTTCAAAATAATCGTTTCCCCCCAGCACTAGTAATGCCATAGAACACGACTTTTGATCAGAATAACAGCTAAGGTGAGACTTGTTTTCCTATTTGGTCCCGTAAAGCAAATGTTGTTGTTTGTTGTCATTTCGCCGCGAGTTCTGATCGCTCAGTGATGATACTAATACCTGTAGAATCTGTGGAATCTCAGCTTGATAATCGATATCTTGTTTGTGCAGATACGCTAACTAATAAGGGTATTTCTACCTAGAGTTCTGTGCTAAGTGCGTTAGCATTATTTCGCTCAGGGCTCATTTAGACGCTTCTTGTGAGACTTGTGTTTTGTTTCGGTAAAAATGGTTTGCATCGTCAGTTAGCTGAGATTCTTCCCGTTAAGTGGGTATGACACATCCATAGGTTTTTAAATGTTAAGAAGCCCTGGGGCTCTCTGGCTTAACAGGTTAATGCTTTCTAGCACAAGTGTTCCGTAGTGATGTCACTATGTTCTTTAATTTATTTATCAGTTTATATTCTTTTAATGTATTCTTTACTTTTTGGACGAAATCAAACGGTGTCACATGTTGAAACGCTGAATGTCGAGGATTGAAACACATTTAATTAACCTCACTGTAGGTGACAACGGAGAAGCACCTCAAACTATCCATTAAACGTTTCACTCAACAGCACACAACGTTCAATCTAGAGGAAACTAATCAGTGATAATAAAAGAGGGCGTGTGTGCGAGTGTGTGTGTGTACCTGGGGGTCAGAGAAGACTTCATGCGTTGCCCCAGAGAGCTGGAGGACGGGGTTTTATTGAGCTGGTGGTCCGGAGTGTTCAGAGGTCCCAGAATGCTCACTGCAACACACACACATAACAATCAATCATCAGCCAACAGATCACATGGCATTTAGCTTTTATCCAAAGACACACACACACACACACACACACACACACACACACACACACACACACACACACACACACACACACACACACACACACACACACACACACACACACACACACACACACACACACACACACACACACACACACACACACACACACACACACACACACACACACACACACACACACACACACACACACACACACACACACACACACAGATTTAAAAATAGGAAAGGTCGAGCACATACTTCTCTCGGGGGTGGCGTAGCAGTTTGCATTCTCGATGATCAGGTGGTCCCGGTTGGGAGTTCCACATCCCGCCGAAACAAACTGAGCCCAGTAATCAACAGGGAGGCAGAGGAGGCGCTCCACCACCTGAGGGGGGGAGAGAGAGAGAGAGAGAGAGAGTGTGCGAGAGAGAGTGAGCGAGAGAGTGTGAGAGAGAGCGTGAGAGAGAGAGTGAGTGAGAGCGAGAGAGAGAGCGAGAGTGAGTGAGAGCGAGCGAGAGAGAGAGAGCGAGAGAGAGTGAGCGAGAGAGTGAGCGAGCGAGAGGATAATTACAGCGTGTTGCCTCACCCTCTTCTGTTGAAGCTCTGAGCAAAACAGGGGGAAATACAACTAAAAGAGTTTCAACCGGTTACCTTGGCGACACACTTTGCCTCACATTGACTATATACAGTATTGATTGTCCTTCCTCCTGGTCTTCCAACCATTTGGACGCAGACTTGCATTTCCCCATAACGATGTTGTTTAGCAACCGGCGTAAAAAGTGAATATATTGTTTGGTATTATATAGTAAACACGTGGTCTCCGTACATGGTGCCTGTCATTAAGCTGGGATAACAAAATAATGTTTTTATTCCTTAGTATGGTAAGGGTTTGAGGCTAAACCTTTATGGCTTTGAATGGTTCATCATATTTTCAAAAACGCCACGCCCTTTTTTTTGAGATCGTCAAACTAATTCTTTAATTTGAATAAAAGTTCTCAGCATTCCCACTGAAACAGAAATGTGAATGCACATAATGACTTGCATGTTCGTTTTACTACTGTGAACCCTCTGAATGACTGAGTAGCTGCTTTGCAGATGTTATCTGCCCCAAGAATTCTGGGAAATGTAGTCCTGAGCCACGACGTTAAAGTTTGCAATACAATGACTAATATCTGGAGGACCATCCCTACCTTGGGCTGCCTCTTGGTGTCCTGCAGGATGCTCATGGGGTCGGGGTTCGGGACGGCGTGACCCACGAGGGTCGGCCCGAAGACTCGAGCCAGATTACTGACGTCCATCCTCGTGTCCAGACTTTCAGCAACTCTGAGACATTAAAGGAAGTCAGTTATCACTCTGTAGTGTCAATATAACACACAACACTTTTAAAGGGGTGTCTTTGTGGTGAAGTATAGAGTGGTACAGCGATGTCCTATTTCTGTAGTGGACCCTGAAGGCAGCATGTGCAAATCATCGTTGAAGCGAGAACAGGAAGTACAAAAAAGACTGAGTCCTGCACCGCTCCGTCAGGGCCACGTTAGGTCAGGTGAAAGGGCGGGAAAGCTTCGGAAGAAAAGTAGTTCCATTCTGAGAAAAGAAATATATATTTTTTTGTTGTAACTTTAATAATAATAATAATAATTAATAATATTTTTATAGCGCCTTTCAGGAAACCCAAGGTCGCTTTACAAGTCGGGTAGGGGTGGGGGGGGGAGTAGGGGAAAAAAGGCAGACAGGTTAAGGGGGTGGGGGGGGGGGGGAAGTAGCGGAAAAATAAACCTATTAAACTAACTATACAGTGGCGAAAGCCACTTTAGAGACGTTTTTGTTCAGTGTAAGTGAACAGGCCTAACGTCAGAGTCAGAATACCAATGCAAGACTTTAATCTATTACAATTCAGACGTTCTTTGTTTTTAAATATCCATCGCTCCATATGTTTATAGTTTTATTCTGACCCACAATGACCCGAGTACGTTTCAGACGAGATGCCGTTTATTACATTCTTAGCACATCTCTGCCTGAAGCAATTCAACCCAATCAAAGTCAGAACACGCAGCAGAATATATAGACTTTTTATTTTGTATTTTATTATATACGTTGCATTGTGGAGGAGCTCGGCTCGGAAGAATGTCATCACCATTTCTACTCAGTAGCTGCTGAGCCTATCAAGATACACTCCTGAGCTTTGGTGAAGCTAGACCGAATGCAGACAGGCTCTGATTGGTTCAGTTAGTGTTACCTCTGCAGGTGGAGCATCTGATTGGTTCAGTTAGTGTTACCTCTGCAGGTGGAGCATCTGATTGGTTCAGTTAGTGTTACCTCTGCAGGTGGAGCATCTGATTGGTTCAGTTAGTGTTACCTCTGCAGGTGGAGCATCTGATTGGTTCAGTTAGTGTGACCTCTGCAGGTGGAGCATCTGATTGGTTTAGTTAGTGTTACCTCTGCAGGTGGAGCATCTGATTTGTTCAGTTAGTGTTACCTCTGCAGGTGGAGCATCTGATTGGTTTAGTTAGTGTGACCTCTGCAGGTGGAGCATCTGATTGGTTAAGTTAGTGTTACCTCTGCAGGTGGAGCATCTGATTGGTTCAGTTAGTGTTACCTCTGCAGGTGGAGCATCTGATTGGTTCAGTTAGTGTTACCTCTGCAGGTGGAGCATCTGATTGGTTCAGTTAGTGTTACCTCTGCAGGTGGAGCATCTGATTGGTTCAGTTAGTGTTACCTCTGCAGGTGGAGCACCAGGAAGGCCAGCGTGTCTCTGTTGGCCGGCGGCAGGTCTCCCACCGTCTGGTAGATCAGAGCGATGCTGTTGTCATCGTCTGACACCTCTGAGGAGACCAGGAGGAGAACAACGTACGTCAGCGGAGAGATTTAATAACAACATGATGTCTGCAGCTCCAGTTACTCTGCATTCATATCATTATCAATACGCCACGGAATATCTTTTTAAAATTCAATGTTCTCTTCTATTTTTGTTTTATTTCGTCCACATTTTCCCTTTCACGTCTTGTGTTTATATAAATTCTCTCTCTCTATCTCTCACACACACTCTCTCTCTCTCTCTCTCTCTCACCGGCGGCCTCCATGAAGGCCCTGTTGAGTCTGAATGTGAGCAGCGGCTCCTTCAGGTTCCTCAGGAAGTCTTTGAGCAGTCCTGTGACGGCGTTGATGTCGTCGACCCGGCTGAGCACCGGCACCGTCTTACTGCGCAGGAACTTCTCCTTCAGGTCCTTCACCGTGCGGTCGGAGCCGGACAGCCGGTACAGACCCGCCTGAGGAGAGAGGGGGGGGGGGGTTACTCACTATCGTTTTATTTCCTCAAGTCATCGTGCACGGGACACTGAGACACAACGGCTCCTGGCAGAGTGTTGCACATATTGGAGGTAGAAACTAGGGCTGCACGATATTGGAAAAAACTAACATTGCGATATATATATATATATATTTTTTTTTTGTGTGTCCGCAAACCATCCTTTCTTGAACTTTAATTCTATACAATTGGTATTTTTCTAACTATATTTAACCGGATGAAGGATTGTAGTCACGGACGTCTGGATCTGAAGTTATCAGAGCAACAAGCTGAGCTAGCTCGGTTAGCAGCGCCGAACTGGAGAAACGACTTTATTCAGGATTCTAATCACGGGGTCCGTTTACTTTGGAGATTTGATTGTGATTGGTGGTTTGCCGTCCTGCGATATATCGTGCAGCCCTAGTATAAACGTCTGCCGTCTCGTCAAGTTAATGTGATACTAAGCAGCAAACAAAGCTTTTCTTAAAACCAAACAGTCACTTCCCAGAAATCCAAATCCCAACTGTAACTCTGTTTTCCCGCAAAGCCAAAAATCATTTATTCCAACGACTCTCATATGCAGTTAAAACAAGAGTAAAGCCTGCATTTAAAGAATTATAAAAAACATATTTGAGAATATTTCAGACCTGTGAAAGCCTGCAGTGCAGTCAATGACTAAGAGATGTGAATACTTTTTAAAAAGGACCCTCAAAAATTTTTATATTCGTTAAGAGGCGAAATCTCTAGGTTTTACACTAAGTGGCAACCCTTCTTCAAATCTCTCTCATTTTGTCTAATGGACACTAGAGGTTTAAATATTGTACGTAAGTGAAGATCAACCATGTACGTCTTGTCAGTTGAAGTACAATAATAGAGACTTAAGCTGAACACTAGTAGCTTTGAACTGTTTGTAACTGTGGTTCCTATCAATGAACCAAATGTCTTTTCAATGCGTCTTCAATACAAATATTAAACAAAAGGACCCTCAGATCGGCGCTCACCTCATGCAGACCCCTCTGCTCGATCTCACTGATGCAGTGCACGACCAGAGGAGGAATCATGGGAGACGTGTCGGGGACGTAGTCTGCGAGGACGCCCTGGAAACAAATCACACACACACCATCAGAACTGGGAGATAATTACTGAGCGGAAACACACACCTGCACATCCAGAGAAATGCATTACGTTAAATGTTCTTTTTTGTTTCAATCAATAACACAGTACAATATATCAGTCACATCAGTTCCTCCAGCTGTATCAATACAATCCTGTTTCAAGTACTAGCCAACCAGTATCAGAGTGCCACTCCAGGGATAAACAAATACAACGTAATAAAGTTGGCCTACCTTAGAAAATAAGAAAATTAAATATCAAATAATGAATAAACGAAAATAATATTGATGGAAAGTGAATACAAGTTGTTAACAATTCTTACTGCATTAGTAGATGCATTACAGGGCCCATCGCTTGATACAAGTTTCTGTAGGCGTAATAAATATGTTCTTTGCTCCATGTGGTGAATATAATTACTTTAGAGCAGTATTTCGGTGGTTGGTGTAAAACGGTGGGATTCTCAACAGAATGATATAGCTATCTTTCAGTTAAAGAACTTGTATGGATGTGTGTGTGTGTGTGTGTGTGTGTGTGTGTGTGTGTGTGTGTGTGTGTGTGTGCGTGTGTCGCAGTGGGTTGAGCCTTGGTGTTGGGATCAGGGGAGCACAGGTTCAAACCCCACTGCAGTCAGCATGTCGTCCCTGAGTCGCTTCACCCCAAAGTGCTCCTGTGGGGATTGCCCACAGTATTGAGTATGTGAGTCGCTTTGGATAAAAGCGTCTAACAAGTGACATGAAATGTATGAATTAAGAAAAATGGGACTATATGGGGGAATGTGAATACGTTTATGTACTGTGGTAAATATTTGCGAAGTCTGTTCTTTATCGGCAGGTCCTTGTTCATGTGATGTTTTGTTTCTTTCCGTTTTTAAAAATAAAAAACAATGAAATATCCCACTCTCACCTCTCCGATCTTGACGGGCGTGGCCCCCAGGTTGGGGATGCACGGCAGGGGGCATCGCTCCCGACACTCGGGGTGAGAAACCACTCTGCAGTCACGACACTTCAGAGAAATCTTCCCAAACTTGATCCTCTTCCCGCAGGGAACGCACGACTCGGGCTTTATGACCTGAGACATTCAACAGGAGGGGGGGGGACTGGGGGTCAACCTAAAGCACGACAACAACTAAACTCAAGTCAAACTCAAAGGCCGACGACAGACGGTGAGGACAAATAAGAAAACCAAAAATAGAAATGTCTCTAAACACCAGAAACATATCAAAAAGAAAGACTCATTGCAATAAGTAAACAAATTACACCAACGGTAAAAAGATAATTACATAATTAACTGTCAATAGAAGGATCTTGCAAATTAAACGTATGCATGTATGAAGTTTCAATCCATCCTATTTTGACGATGGAAGGGAAGTGTTGGTAGCATCTTCCAGTAAATATACAGAAACCTAAACGCATGATAAATCCAACGGGACAAAGTCAGTCAGTCTCAGCGGTGACACGTTGACAGGACGTAAAAAGGCGTGGCCCGAAAGAAAGTGCTTTCCTCCCGTCAGATTAAACGTGTTTCTCACACATGAAACACATCGTCTCCAGACCCAAAACATACGTCGCTCTAGCGGGGATTTCATTATTATAATGGTATTTGTGTTGTTTATATGCAAGTGATTACATAGAGGTGGACCAAATGACTTTTAAACAGCAACGTGTTGGAGTGGATCTTTAATTGGACGTCAGCGCCTTTAAACTAAAATGGACAATTTAAATAAAACAATTAATTGGAATGTATACATTTTTACTCCATCATCTTTCTTTCATTCATGACTTTGACTCAGCCTCCTTTCCGGGGGGTGCAAACTGTTTTCTGAATGTACTGAAAATGCTTTTAAAAACCCCCAACCTTTGGTAAGAAGCGCGTCTACTTCATTAGACGTGAACATTTCTATAAGATTACAGTTCTATGCTTTCAATAAATGTTGTGGCCGTGGTGGAGTTATCAGAAACACTCATCTAAAGGTGGACGCAGGCCATACAAATCTCGTCAGATTGAATGTGTTTCTCACAGTTTTGGAGACAAAGTCGTGTAGCCGGACCCCTCCGAGGTTCTGAGGTGTCCCTGGTAATGCCCGTCTCTCCTGAAGGACCTCCGGCTGCTTGAAGACGTCCTGAGACTTCACCGACTCAGAGTCCCACTCCATGTTGGCTGGACGGCAGAAAACAAAACTCAACGTTAACACCACCATGCAGCTCTAATAAAACATATACTGTCGATCATTTCTGCTGCATATTCAGACTCGTTCATAAAATCATCTTAAACAACAGGTAGATGTGCCGTCTTTAGATATGATTTCAGCTGCATCACACAGGGTCTATGCAGGAGTCCTGAAGTCACATGTACGACCCTTTCCATACATTTGAAGACCTCATCGTCACTTGGAGTTCTAACCGGTTACCTTGGCGACACACTTTACCTCACATTGACTATATACAGTATTGATTGTCCTTCCTCCTTATCTTCCAACCATTTGGACGCAGACTTGCATTTCCCCATAACGATGTTGTTTAGCAACCGGCGTAAACGGACCTTCGCGCTATCAAGCAGTGAGCGCGCGATGTCCTGTTCAGATGACGTCAAACCCAACGGGATGTCATCAATAAACTACACAGAATCACACTGCACACCTACGCAATGATTACATTCAGGCAGTGGCGAACCGTCAGGGCCTTCAAGGTATTCAGAGAATACCCTGGAACACTCAGATAAAACAAACAAAATCGATTTAATTATATAAATAAGATGTAATAAAATGAATAAATGAGAATGGTATCCGTGTTGTTGATCTGTAATATTACAGTGTTACGTTGATTTGTTTGTCCTTCTCGGACCATGCACTACGCATTTCAGTAGAAAAGAAAGCAACCAATCAGATCTTGTTCTGGGTCTCTGGGTAGAATATCCTTCAACAAGGTATTCTACATCCTTGATCGAAGGCCCTGGCCGTTGCACTGAATGAGAGCGTACGTTTGGACTGACAGTTTGATCAACCAATCATATATTGATTTGTAGCCAATGGGCGTGTTCTTTCAGAGTTCCCCTCGGTTCCAGAGTATTCTAGAAGGCCCTCTAGTTAACTGGCTCGAGACAGAGGATCTAGATGAATGCGACGAAGCAATTCATGCCGTTTTATTGTTTTTAACGTTGAAATGACAAGTGCAACAGGTGAAGAGGAAGTTGTTACGGAATTGTTGTGAGTACCCTTTTCAAGACGACAATTCAGTGAAAAGACGGATATTATAATGCCGCGGAGGAGGGGGGGGGCGGCGGGTGGGCGTCTACAGAAGGTCCAGTTGTGATGGCTACGGTTCGCCACTGCATTCAGGCAGACTGTAGAATACAACCTCTTTGGACAATTTAGATACTTATTGAAAACAAGCTAAATGTAATACCTTGGGAAATGCCGTTTAATACTTTTTAGTAGCCTTCATTTTCGCAAAATGTATTTATCAACTTTTAATACTTTGTAAGACCCCGTGGACACCCTGTTTGAATGTAATGCTACATGTTTGCTCAACTCACTGCATTGTGATACCGTTTCGGCCCATCTGTGGGAAGTCTGTGTTGAACAAGAAAACTAATACAAAGATTTTGAAAAGAGTCTCAGTCCCACTGAATGATAACCCTGAAGTCTCACCGGTCTTCCTGCGGCTGCGGGTCCAGTACGGCACCGTCTCGATGGTGGAGACGGCCTCGACCGGTCCTCCGTCAGCGGGGACCGTCACCGTGGTCTTCGTCACCAGAGTCTCATTCCCCTGCAACAACACGCAGGGTTCATACACTTTTTCACCAATGACTTCTCCAGGACCGTTACCTAATTTTCCATTTTCTCAGCGGTTCCACTGAAAATGGTTTATTTGAACACGGAACAGGAAAATCAGGTCTGCATCTGAAACATGTTGAGTCTAAAACAAATCAAGTAGTTGGCTTACTAGCTTCCACAAGCTAAAGCAACTCAAATCTCTCACCAGCAAAACACCTCGTCAGTTAAATGCCATGTTACGTTTCATTACTATACGATACAGTATGTATTATCATTATAGTGTTACTATTTAGGCGATTAGATAAAATATAAATTATATTTGATGCAACTTTAGTTACATTTCCATGACTTTTCCAAAACGTTGGGAAAAATATTGTTTCCCACGGCCTGGAATTAGCATTTAGAATTTCCATGACTTTTCCAGGTTTTTAATGACCGTAGGAAGAACCCTGAACACGATCCAAATAACCGTCAGAATAATCAAGGTTAGTTTATTTGTAAAGCACATGTTCATCGTTATGGTTTGAATGTTGGGCTTGATAATATAAGGATTTAGAGTAAACTCGTAACTATTTGTTTTTGAGAGTCACACTAAGGTTTAAAAGATGACGTCTGCATGTCTTTGTATGGCAGGACATTGGTTCACAGCTGATTCTGATTAGACGGGAAGCGCTAGAGTCTTGTGACCGTGTTCTTTTTGTTCCATTTTGATACGGAGAACTTTGAGTTACTTTGAAGCGAGGAAGTTTGTCTTGATGTTTGTACGCCGCCCGGATCAATGAATAAATCTGATTCAACGCTACAACGATCTCCGCAAAGTTCGTTTGGAAGCAAAGAGAGGCTCGTCATAACCAAGCGGCAAACTCTGGGGCAGAGCCGGGACGCCAATAAGGAAGTGCATCTATTGGCCGATAGGCGATGGCTGCAGAAAGGAGGAATTTCCATAGACCCCCATGTTAAAATGCCCAACCTTACAGCAGAAATAAACACGTTTACCCCTGGATGCATTAACAATTATTCGGGATATAGTTAGATTCCACCTTAATGATTATTAATTGTTGAGTGAATTGTTTTATAACGCGACCCTTTTATTTATATTAGGTCTTAAAGTTTTTGCATAAATTAGGGCGTGGTCACTTTGATGGACAGGTACGTGCCTCACCGTCAGCTAACAGCTTGGTTCGCCTGCAGCCCGTTGTAGTATTAGCTAAAGAAATGATGTTGAACAAGGCTTATTAAGCTGAACATCGCCACGATTGTTCTGCTATGTATCGGTACTTATTTTATTTTATTAACGTGTGAATGACAAGCATTTAGAATAACAAAAAATAGCTAATTCTCTTGCATATTGTCTCGTTTGATTATGAATGTAACGTTTATATAGTGGTTTTATCAAAACCAAAGTGCCACACAGTAACTTGGTATGCATGTATTTCATGTTAGCTTAGCTTCTTAGCCTGAGCTAGCTCTGGAACTTCCAGTTCGGAGGCAGCAGGTCGTCCCGCCTCGGCTCCGCCTCTTTGCCCTTATTTGGAGCAGGCGGGATTAGACTCTGACGTCGCTGTCAAGACGTTAAGGGCCGACTCCGCCTACTAAGGGCTTCTCGGCAACTCTGCAGAATCCTATGGGTGACGTCACGGACACTACGTCCATTTATATATACAGTCTATGGTCGTAACCCACAACCCCGATAGAGGAAAGTGGATATTAAATGTAGAAACGGATTAAAAGGCCACGACAGCACATTTTAAGACACAGTGGCAATTCAAAGTGCTTCACATAGAGCCTTTAAACACATATTAATAAAAAAAGAAAAGACAATTCATAAAAGCGATAAAATACTGGCTGCAGCTAAAAGTGTAACGATAAGGTCGGTTAAAGGACCTCAGGAGAGGCGGCATTACAAATAAATGTTTTAAAGTTTGATTTAAAAGCACCCAGGGTTGGGAAGGACCTCAGAATTATTGTTTGTTCCAGGCGGGTGGTGCAAAAAAGCCAAAAGCCGCCTCGCCAAATGTAGTTCTGACTCTGGAGACAACGAGTTAAACAAACTATGTGCAGTCCGACCAGGAAGTGTTAAGAGCAACTAAACATCCCCATACGTTGGCAAGGCTGATTTTATTTAGTTTTTTTCTTCCTACATTTAAAAAGGATTACGTTTTAATAAGTAAAAGGGGAATTTATACATTTTTATTAAATCAGCTCTCTTGTATTAATGAACATAAATACAAAAAATAGTTTTCTTTATCAAGTGAAAAAAGTATGAATAGCTTGACATGAACTTTTTGGAAATGATACATCTATACGTGAACTTTTGGACGCTGTGGAGTTATTGAAAATGTTTGGATCACAGAAATTAAATCGTGTGATTATTGATTCAGAAACATTATCAATGAAGCTTTGAACTATAAAAAGGGATATTGAAATCCACCCCTACCCTCTCTGCGTTCCTTCCGTTGGATCTGGAGCGCTTGGAGGCGCCCGGAGGTCCGTCGACGTGATTTCTGGAGGAGCGCTGAAATAAAAAAGCATCGGCTCGATGAGTTCCCGCGAAGTGACACACGGACGTTCACAGAGCACCGGTTGTTGAGTTCTGATCTCACCCTCTTCTCTCGTTTCTTCAGGCGCACCGTCCTCACATTGGACGAGTTCCAGTCCTGCAACAAAGCAACGTCACATTCTCAACATAAAAGCAGGTTATTTTAATGACGATTAAACTGAGGTGACGAAGCGCTCACCATCGAGTCGTCCGTTTTGTCGTAGCTGATGTCCGACAGGATGGAGGCCGACTCGTCGATGGTGCGCAGTCTGCGGGAGACACGGGAATCGTTACTTCTCATTTTGCCTTTAAAAGATATTGTGACGACCCCTCCACACCACGTGGGGTGCTGTTTCTGTGTGTGCTTAGGTTCACAGGTTCAGGTGCTGATGAGCTACACCTGGAAAGGAAAGGATATAGGAGGAGCCCAGCCGGTTACGTCTCGCGGACTCCTCTGGGCACTCTCTCCGTGCCAGCCTCGGGGACCTGTGGCTGGTTCTGTCATTACATTGTTTATAAGAGAATAAACACTTGTTATTTTCTTACCCTTCGTCTCGCCTCCCTGCTTTGTATATATATTGTTGCAGCCCAGGAGCCGGGTTGTAACAATATATATAAAAGTGGTAATGCATGTAAGGCTCACAGTGGGACAGAACAAGTGAGGTTTGTAGTTGAGGTTTGTCCTGAAACCTGGAGGTCACATTAATTTTTTTGAGTGAGAGACGCTACGGTTACTTGGTGCAGTTTTTTGGAGAAATGTTTGTTATTTAAAGGTAGGGTAGGTAATTTTGGAGAAACCAGCTCGAGTGCGCTAGAATTTGAAAATACACAACCGGAAAAAATCTGCCACTTCCTCACAGAGCCCCTCCTCCAACACACAGGAACGCGCACATGACCAATGAGGGCACGAGCCACGAGGTGAGTTTGTGCCCAGATGGAAGGCTGACAGGCAGGTAGGCCATCCAGTTATTTTAGCCGGCTCAGATGATTGGTCGTGCTTTTTACAGCGCCACGGCTTCCACAGATGATGTGTTTTTATTTATTTATTGTCAAAGCACTTCAGATATTCATTGCTATCGGGACGTTAAGAGCATTCCATGGAATATAACAAGTGTATCTCGAGCCGGTCTCTCAAACTTACCTACCCCACATTTAATAGCTGATAATAGTCAATGCATTATCAAAAAAACTCATATCATAAAGACATTTCTAATGTTGGTTTGTGTTCAGTTTCTGCAAAGCAATATGTGCACCTTCAGTAAGTAAGTGTAATTATCCTTAACACGGTTTTAAATGGTACTTTCTGCATTATCTAAAAGTGATACCGAGTGATGGATCGACACTTCTGTTTGCATTCAGGCCTAAAGTGTCCGACGCTCCCATGCTCAGATCAGCAGGAACACTGACCTCTCAATGTAACCACAGAGCACTGATAAGGTTTACAGGAGGCTGTAAACACACCGTAAACCTGTCTGTGTGTTGTACGGGGGGTGTGTGTGTGTTGTACTGGGTGTGTGTGTTATACTGTGTGTGTGTTGTAGTGTTCGTTGTACTGTCTGTGTGTGTGTGTGCTGTAGTGTCTGTCGTATTCTGTGTGGGTTGTATTGTGTGTGTTATACTGTGTGTCGTACTCTTTGTGTTGCAGTGTGTGTGTCGTACTGTGTGTGTTGTACTGTGTGTGTTGTACTGTGTGTGTTGTACTCTCTGTGTGTTGCAGAGTGTGTGTTGTACAGTGTGTGTGTGTCTGACCTGCGGCTGGTGTTCAGCACAGCAGTCGGCTGGCTGTTGGTGTTGAGGAAGGCGAGGGCTGATCGCTGCTCTGCGCTCAGCTTGATGCTGTTAGAGGATCCTTCGCTGGTCAGCAGGTCCCGGATCAGCTGGATCTGACGGTCCTGTTGGAGGGGAGATGCAGCGAATGAGAAACACCTTGAACCAGATGCACATACAGAGGAGACCGAAGCAAAGTCAGGGGTTTTAAACGCAGTAAAAGAGGCAATAAACTCCGGACACGAAACCCTTCTGACTTTCTTTTATTGTTGTGCTACGTTCAACGGCACTAATGAGCGAAGCAGGAAAGCAGGGTTAGGAAATGTTTAAAATATTACTTGTTTTTGAAATACACGTTTTCCTAAAGCAGGATTTAAATTGTAATTAAATTTGGCAACAACTTCACAATAAACAAAATATAATTTAAACAAAATACAAAATGCCTGAGGGTTAGGGACATGATTAGCATGTCGTCGCTAGCAGTCACATGTTGTTGTCTTTTGCTGAAAACAAACAACATATGACTGTTGTTGTTGTTTACTTTGGCCTGATGGGCATTTGGTAAATTGCCTTTCAAAAATATGATCTTTCATAACATTTGAATTCCAACTTCTTACAATATTTAAAAGTTGCCTTTAAGACGTTTTAAAAGCAAACCAATGTATTCAAAGCTTTTAAGACCTTTTAAAGATATTTTGGAAATCTGTATCAAATTCAGTCTTTTTCAAACTCTCAAACCAGAGATGGTGATTGTGGAAAAAATAACAAAGATGCTTTTGAAGAGTGTTAATTGTTTCTATCCAGTTGGAAAGTGTTTATCTCAATGGACTCTGGATACAGAGAGAACATTAATGATATGTTATGAACAAAAATAAGTGACACAAACTGTCCAAATCCCTATTGATTTTATTTCTAATATATCCACTCCAATAACCGACAAAAGGGACAGATGTTTCCATCCCTGCAGACGAACACTGGGTCTCCTGCAGAGTCTAGGGCTGTCCCGAATACCATTTTTCGGGCTCCTGATATTCGGTAGTAATCAGCAGCGAACCGCTTCAACACGTGTATTTCGGTGTATTCACGGCATTCATTTTGTTATTCTATAGTATTGTTGTTTTATAGTTATTTGTTAATGTAACCCAATTTGTGTTCTTTGAAATTGAAAAGGATATCGCATTGTGTTTGTTACTTTCGTTGCAGTTGTATATGTCTTATGTAATTTGGCTTGGCTTCCTATTTATGGACATGCTTTTATTTTGAAGGAGAATTAGCGCAGTTGACAGGAAGTTGTTGTTGCTATGGAAACAACGTGACGGAGACTAACGGAGAAAAGTAATATCTACATATAAAGACGGAGAAAGTAAACGATAACGTTTATGGTTAAGTGTTAGCACCCCCCGAAGAGGCACAAGCTCTTACGTTGATATTGGAGATTTCAATAAAATCAATTTGAAAAAAAAGAGGGGGAAAAACGAATATCCGAATAAAGAGATTGAAACCCGAATAGTACTCCAACGAACAAATATTTGGGTACAGCCCTAGCAGAGTCATTAGCTCCTGCATGAATCTAATAATTCCCACATCAACAAACACACGTGTTCCAACCCACCAGCTTCTCGCAGTCGGCCTCGGCCTTCTGTCTGCGTCTGATCTCCACGTCCACCTGGTTGCGGGCGTGTTTCAGTTTGACCTCCAGCGCCCCCCGCTCTGTTTGGGCCTTGGTGAGAACCTCCTTACAGGATCCCAGATCCAGCTCCGTTCGCTGCCAGCGGCGCCGACAGTCCTCGAAGTTCTGAGCCATCTGGATGAAGTCTGGGACGAGAAGAGAGGGAGGCTCGTTAATAACTGGGGCAGGGGTCTAATGTGTTCCATATAGAGTGGTGCAGGAATGAGTCCAATAACCTGGAGGTGAGTCAGCATTTCTCCACTTCCTGTTCCCTCGTCTCAGAGTCAACGGGTTTGTGAACATGTTTTAGGAGAATATCTGAACTAAGGTCTGTGGTTGAGACACATTGAAGAGACGGATCACGTTTTGTTCTAGGACATTAAATCATCAGCAGAAATCACTGGTGATTTCTGAAGAGTTGACGTGTCTGAGAAACGATGGTTGTTACCAAGTGGCTGAATAGGACTACAGAAGTCGTGGAGGACGTTGTACGTCATTACGCCGAACACGTGAACACTCCTCGAAGTTAGTTTCTGTTCTGCTTGAAAGCAAGTCCCTGCCTCCTGCAAAGTGTTCAAACTAACGCTTCAACTCGTTCCATCTAGAATCTGTTTGAATATGGATCTGAAGTTGGCGTGACGTTGAAGTCGGGCTGCTCAATTAATCGTGATTACGATTATGGCTTGCAACGATTACGAAAACAACGTAATCGAAATAAAACGATTATTTTTTTATTATTACTTTTGTTTTTAAATGATAAAAATAAAAATGTCAGTTGAGTTAAACTTAAAGTTCAGGGTGATCAACTGTTAAAAACATACTGTTCAGATGTTTTTCTCCAATAAATGGATGTTTTCAAAGTAAATGGATAATCGTTTTTAATAATTGTGATATCAATTATTGACCCAGTGGAGTGAGTGGAATATGTTGAATATGTTTTACCAAAAGGTTGGCTATATGTTGAGGAGTTTTCAGGTTGTGACAGTGCACGGCAACATGTTTGTTGATCTTGTTTATTATTTTGATATTATTTATTTAAATGTAGAGATGAATGTATAATTTATTTGAATTTATTTTTCAGTTGATTACCCTGAACGTATAATTCAACAGTTAAAAAGTTCAAATTATTATTTCTATTTGTTTTAAAGTACAATAAATGGATGTTTTCAAAGTCAATGAATAATCTCATTTAATAATCGCAATTACAATTATTGACCCAAATAATCGAGATTATGATTTTTGCCATAATCGAGCAGCCCTACGTTGAAGTCGTGCTGCTGAACTCGGCTGTAGTTCCTTTATAGCATAACGTTAGCATTTAGCTTCTGGAGATTAGATTTATGATCAGAACATTATGAAAGTAGGGTAGACACGTGGAGATTATCCAGCTGAACAAAACGTGCATTTATCAAACAGGTTTGTTTCCAGAGACCTTATTTTTTACAATTTTCCAAAATCCTCTGGAGAAATCCCGTTGCTTTTGGTCGAGGGAACCAGCAGCTTCCTTCAGGGTCGGCCTACAAAAATACGTCATCCCTTTACCGCTCTATTAAAGTCAGTAAAAGCATTCTAAGATGGCGTCGATGATGATGTCTTCGGCTCCTCTCCAACTCTGCCTTTTTACCGTTTTATTTCAGTGTTTGTTAACTTGTGCGACATGTATATAGACTTCTTGCACTATTTTTTACATGTTATTAAGTTGCATTGTTGGAGGAACTCGGGTCAGAAGAATTTCATTGCCATTTCTACTCTGTAGCTTGTGTTCATATGACAATAAAACCTTTGGAGCTTTGAAAAGATGAATGAAATACTCACTGGGTTCGATGTTGTCATTGAGGAGGTCCACCTGCGACCTCAGCTTTTCATACAAGCTCTGCAGGTTCAGCACCGCAGTCTGCATCATGGCCTGTATCTCAACACCCTGAAAAGCAACATTAAGTACATTTAGTTTATTGTTAGGGATGCTCCGATCGCCAATTTCGGGGCCGATCGCCGGAATCAGTATCGGCCGATACCGATCGCCGATCCGATCGAGTGGGCGGGGCCTAAATGGAAGATTTAAACATCACTTTAAATCTTCCATTTAAAGTGATGTTTAAAACTCAGTTAATGGGGCTCATTCACTGGAGCTTCCACAAACAACAATCTACTTAATTATTAC